TACTTTAACACATCACTCTATCCTTATGAGTTTACCAGCTGCACAAAGAATATACCTGCGTCCAGCGTTTCTGTCCACACACAGGATTGCATTTGTAAATTTTGGTGTGTCCAGGCAAGAAGCTGACTCGTCAGCCTGGATCCTACTAAAGTTTTCATTCTGTAGACGTTGATTCTAACCAGGTTCTGAGTCAAAAATGAAAGTGAGTCACTTCTCCATATCCCTTCTCTTCTGGAGAAGGAGGAGGGCCCCGGGAGTGGTGGGGTTGCCAGGCAACTGTGCCGCCTGCCTCCTGCTTGCTCAGGTGTCGGGGGGCCTGACTTGATCTCCCCCGGGGGCCGCAGATGCTCACCAAGTGTCTCCACGTCTGCTATCCTCAGCTAGGTGCGACCATCCACACCTTGGGTGTGAAATGACTGCATTTGGAACGTAGGAAAAGGCGCGGATGTGCGAACCATAACGCAAACACTTGTTATTCCAAGTGTGAGTTTCAGCTGAGCTGAACACATGTGATGTCACATTGGGAAGACTGGTGAACTAAAACGAGTAGAGTAAAAACTTCTGGAAAATATCCAGAATAGACTTGCCCGTAAAACTTGTATTTGTTTGATAAAAAGAAATTCTTACAATGACACACAAAGCTATTCAGGCCCTAGTGTGTAGTCTCCCTCCAGCTGGATGCTCCGCCATGGTCCCTGGGGCGTTCTTCTTTCAGCCAGCCACGCACCCGAGAATTTACTGGGTGTGAGTTGGACACTGTGGCATCTTCCTTGCTCCGTTTGTGGTCTGTGGGACACAAGATGCAAATGCACGGAAAGATTCGGATTATATTTGTGGTAAGGGCGGAGGGGCTGCAGGAAAACAGGTGGGGTTTTTCTTGGTGCATCCAAGAAGACTTCCCAGGGGACTCTGATGATCAGAGCAGAACCCCGAAGGAATAAAACTCGTCAGAAGCCCAGGTTCGTGTTTGCAAGCAACAGAAATTTGCCCTGGCTGATGCTTCTGGAAAGGGGATTATTCCAAGATAATTAGGTAATTCACCAGAGGGCTGGGAGAGGAGCCACGCTCCGCGCTGACGTCCAGAACTGGCCTGATGAGGAAAGCCCCACCTATGTCAGGGAGGGTCAAGGACCCGGGACCACTGTTGCCCTGAACTTCCACCACCCCCTTGGCTCCCTCTGCCAAGTTGCTGGTCTCTGAGTCAGAGATCCACTCGTCACATGCCTGCATTTAGCTGCAAGAGAAGCTGCGAGTTTGTGTTTTCTGGGTTCCAAATATAGTAAAAGCGTTCTCAAGATGCAGAGCATCTAGAGAACGCGAGAAAGCCATTGTTACCACAGTGAGGAGGATGGTCTGGGAGAAACAACCACAAGGGCAGAGGGCCACGGAAACAGACAGTCTCATGTTTTTCTCCCTTATTTGTCCAAAAATTCAAGTCTTAAGAACAAAATGCTTGGATGCTTGTCATCGGCCAACATTTTACTTTGCCAAGAACCACTACTCCTACAATTTACTCTCCTTATCAGTTACTAAAATAAAGGACATTTTAACACCAAAAAGGAATGGAGGGCTTAATCTCATGACCAGGAACAATGATTTGATTTGCATAAATTTGTCTGAATGGAAATCCTCAGTCCACTGTGCTTGTTTCTCTCATTTTGAGTAAGCAGGTGGAAGCTTAGTTAGGGCGAACAGCGACCCACACGTGGGCGTGGGGGAGCCCCCGTTCATCTCCGTTAAACACGGGGGCCGCTGAAGGTGGGTGTGAAACAGAGGGGGCATGGGTTTGTTTTAGAAAGACTGTCCTGGGGGCCAGGATCAAAGGAGAAACCTTGAGAGAAATGGAAGGGATCGAATCAGAAGCCTTCATTAATAATCAATATAATGGCAGTGGGTGTGGGGGGGAGGAGGGGAAGCACTGTGGCTTCTTGAATCTTTCCTCGGTCTGCTTCAATAGTAACGCGGCCGTCTCCCTTCAATTTCAAAGGTCTGCATCTTCCTTCCTGGAATACAGATCCTGGAGGGCCAGGAGCTGGCTCCTCTCTCCCTTGATGCTCTGTGTGCCCAAAACTGGCTTCCAGGACATGCACCAGGCAAGCAGCCCTCCCGCCAAGCTGCCCACATCTCACGAGGCTTATGCCGCACGCGTACTCCTGTTCCGGCTGTCCCTTGCTGAGCCCCGGAGCGAAGATTACAAAGAGAGTTGTGCTGCATACGTAGGACCTAACTAGACAGATATTCTTCTAAAATGCAAAGCAACTGAATTGGGAAATTAAGGAAAATGACTTCAGATATTTAAAAAGTCACAGACATGACTAGTTTATTCCTTCAATTCCCTTCTGCCTTGTTAGGCAGAGTAACAGATCAGGGGAGCAAAGCTTTAAAAATACTATTCTGGCTGAGCTGGGGCAGGAGACATCCTGCAAATCATTTGAAGCAACTGGCAGAGCATATCTGATGTCAGTTTCCTTACCATGAGCTTCCTGTTAAATAAGGACAAAAAATACGTCTTCATTTTCATGAACCTCTAACTGAACATTAGCATCCCCTCCGGGCATGCACAGAGGCAAGGGACCTCTAGTAGGAATCCCTGTGGTTTTGTCAACGATTTCTCAAGCTCAGATACTTGCAACGCTCATCATTATTCTGTAAGTTTATGGTGGATAAGACCTGCTACTATGTTGTTATTTGGTGCCTAAAATAGCACATATATCCCCATGACAATGAAAAAAACCTTTTGCTAACTGCGTGTAAATGTAATTGCTTTCATTTGTAAGCCCTGGGTTTGCTTATTTTATGCGTTTACCTAATTGCGAGGATTTCACAGCTTTATCCACGTGCCAAAGGGGTCCACGGGAGGGTTTAAAGTCCTCCATTGTACCCGCTCCAATCCGCTCCCTGATTTCCATAACCGAATGCTGGGCTTGTGGACAACCGGGACTCTTCCTTCACATAAAAAAAAAAAAAAAAAAAATTGCGGCAAAAAACACATAGTGAAAGTCTATCGTCTTCACCCTTTTAAGTGGTTTAATACAGTTCTGTAGTGACGCCCATTTATAGTACTGTGCAACCCAACCTAGGACGAGCTCTTTGATGGAAATGCCTGGGTCTTCAAAGTGGAAGATGTTTGCTTCTATTTCAAGTACACTTCAATAAAGCTGAAAATTTTTTAAAAAGGAAAAATTTGGGCTAAGTGCAAATATTTTAAATACTTGAGGTTTTAGGGAAATGGACATGAAATTGTAAGATTGTAAAATTGTTTAACTACTGCGCACACATGTTCCAGCAGAGGTCTGTGAGGGGTGGAGGGAAAACCCTGCCGGCTGGTCCTCCGGCCCCCCAGAGCACAGCAGTCAGTGGCACTGCCCGCTCGCTCCCGGGTACCTCCTTCTCAGACAATGGCCTGTGTGCTGTTGGGTTTCTCTCTGCTGATGCGGCGGGAGTGCACACCTGGGGGTGGACGGAGCTTGCACAAGCCACTGCACCAGCTGGGCCTGTTTGCTGCTCCCCCCCCCTCCCAGCTGCTTCCCTCCTCTTTGAAACCAAGGTCATCACGAAGATGAACTGGAGCAAACCTTTCATAGACCGCAGGTGTGATACAAAGCCTGGGCACTTGGCGACACTCTCTTTTCCCCTGCATTCAGGTTACTGTTTCAGATGATACCATTTCAATCTATTTTACATAAAATTGAATTTTATTATAGCATAAATCATGGACCAAACTGACAGCATTTCCCTCATGGCCAGAAATGAGCTATTAGGGAAATTAATTGCTTTTGGTGTACATTTGAGTTCCATCCCTGCCATGTTCTCCCCTTCGAACACTTCACAAACTGCTGGGTCTGATGCCCTCATCGCTGACCAAATAGGTCTTACACTGGTTGTAAACCCAGTACGAAGCCTCTCGTTGGCCCCCCGATGGCCAAGCTATCTGTGTTGAGGGACCATTTCTATCAGTCGCAGTCCATTCCCTCCCACAATACGTTCGCGGCACCAGACTCTGGGGGTTCAGTAACGCGTTCAGATGCTCAATGACCTCAGGGAGCTCAGTGTGGCTGATGGAGGAGAGGTGTTCTAGTGTGGGGGAACAGCTCAAAGGCAAGGAGGTAGGCCTGTGGGGGATGGTCCAGGGAGCGGCTCTGCTGCTGAACGTTCGAGGGAGGTACAGCCAAGCCTGAGCGTGAGCCAGGAGCAGACCATACAGCAGGAAGCAGGAGCGGAGTGGCCAGGTGGTGGGGAGGGTTTTGAGTAGTGAGTAGTAAGGAGAGCAAAGGGAGAGAAGGCAAAGACTGAGGTCTCGTTGTGGCAGTAGAAATGCAGGGGAGACTATAGGGTGCTGGGATCTGGTGACCACTCGTGGGGAAGGCTGCCAGACCAGGTGACAGAGGGCAGGGGGAGCTTGGTGATCACAAGCGATTTGGCTCCTGCCCCATGTGACATGACTGTATGACAGTTAAGGGAGGACGGAGGCAGGAATTTATTATGGACAAAATTGTCTTCTTCTCGAGAAAAAAAACTTTTTTTTTTAACCAAATCCTTTTCCTGAATATTTGGTCTTTAAAAACACCTGCCAACGCCATAATTTTATATGCAAATGACTATTACTTTGAATATCAGAATTAACATTAATAATGAACTGGAGATTTTTTTTTCTTTTTAATTTTAAGTAGGGTCTATGCCCAGCAGGGAGCCCAATGCCGGGCCTGAACTCATGACTGTGAGATAGATCTAGACCTGAGCTAAAGTCAAGAGTTGGATGCTTAACTGACTGAGTCACCCAGGCATCTGGAGAACTAGAGATTTTAACCAAGCTTCTTGGACCAGACTACAGAATATTCGGTAAAAATATAAAAGTCATCTGCTGAACCAACGGTCATACTGTCCTCGAGGGACGGCTCTTTGGGAAGGAGCCGTTATGCACAGATGCTTTCACAAGGCTTTATTGTTTTATTTAAAGTTTGGTTGTGTACAGAAAAACACACACGCACACACACAATAGGTTAAAATATCCAAATAAAATTTACTGCAACTTTTGTAGAATTTAATTTTTGTGCTACAAGACATGTTGCATAGGAAACTATTTAAAGCCCCTGAGGAAAAATATCCACGGTTTAAGGTGCGACTGGTTTTGCTTCTTCTTTGGGGAGAAGGCGAGAGATACCTCTCAAAGAATGATGGTGGAAGAGAGAAGCGGAGTTTACGGTGACTTCGTGGGATGACTGGGGAATCGCGTGTCCTGGTTCTTGCAGCATAAAAAAACATATTGTTTTTCTGTGTGTTCCTAGCCAGCTGATCTTCAGAATCTGAATCAGCAGATACGTAAGAATGTTTCAGCCCAATAGGGATCACCCACTGATTACACTAGGTAATTAGCATAACACATCTCAAGACAGCAGATTTAGGGAATGAGGTCCAGGAATCCCAAGTGGCCCACCATCATGCCACACAAGCAGGCTGCGTGTCCTAGCACATACCCGGAATCTTCCCTCTCGATCTGCCAGGTAGTTCCTCCGTCCTGCCCCGTGCCCCCCTCCCAAGCTGCCACCACCACAGCAGGATGACGGAGCCCAGCACCGTGTGCCCACGCACAAGCACACTGATCGGCAACGGTAAAGGGCATCAGTGCAACGCTCTTGAGTCCCTGACTTTCGGTGGGAAACAGTTTCCTTTCCGGAAAACGTTCATCCTGCTCAGAGCCTATTAATCTTTCTCTTGGACAGAAAAAAGACGGTGTCCCCTATGTTATTTCCTAGGCCACAGGGGTGTGCCAGGAAGGAACAGGGGCTGACTTTGTAATGAATGAAGTGGAGCTGGCTAGTGGCAGCCGGCCCCTCTGTGCACACACTGGCGCAGGGCTCCCCTCCCCCGCCCCCAAGGAGAAACAGGACAGCGGTGGCTGATGGCTGCGGGGCCCAACGGCTGTGGGAACCGCCGCACGGCAAATGGCACCATTCTCTTGAATGACTGCACGCAGGTGGGGGCCAGGACGAACACCAGCTCCCAGCTGCCTTCTCATCTCATGGGCACCTGCTGGCTCAGGTCCCACTAAAGCTCGAAGAAGGTCTACTGATCATTTACTATAACACGAGGCAAAGGGACAGAAGAGAATCAAGTCGAGAGGGGACAGCAGGACCTAGGACACTCTTGGAAAGGATGGGCAAGCGCCGGACTCATCAACTGAAAACCACGTTCCTATTTGATTTACCCTTTTTTATAGGTAGAGAGCAAAAGGGGTCCAACACTTGAACAAGCGTCTCTCCGCGTGCTAAATGTTGAAACGCAAAGTGTGGCTGGGAATCACAAATGCCCCCAGTGACCTTTAAATACATATATACATCTGTGACATAATTTAAAAAGGTCTTTAGAGAACATAAAAACCTCAACAGCATCCTCTCCTATTAAGGTGTACTTTTTTTTTTTAAAACCTTTATGGTCCTTTAAAAAAATGAGATACCACCTTTCTCAACTGCTTCCCCCGAAACTTTAAAAAAAGGAGTTTCCAATTTAAATTTACACCTAACAAGTAGAAAGCTATGTGATTGGCAATGACCTGCAGTAGAAATTCCCTTCAGGCCCCCCCACCCGGCCCCCACCAGCGATGGAGGAGGGCGGTGGAGCACTGCCGTGTGCTTGGTCCTTGGGTGTGGGCCCAGCCTTAGAGGGACCCCAGATGCGTCTGAGCCGCTGGCCCTTCCTCCCTCCCCAGCTCCACGTGATGGCGTGGGCATCCCGGACAGACCGACGGTGCAGGGCCCAGAGCAGCGGTGGGTGTGAGGGAACCCACTCAAATCACAAAGTCATCGTGGTCCACGGGACTGAAGGCAGCTGCTCTCAGAATGTCCAGGGAGTTCACCAGAATCAGAGTTCCGGTGAGGTGTTTCCAGCGCTTCGTGATGGGGTTTTTCATCTTGTCCAGACCTATGTGGAGCTCCTGGATGACATCCCGGTAGCTGTCCCCAATCTGGTGGCTCCAGGTTAATAAAAAGTCATAGGCGGGTTTCCACATGGCCTGAATGGGGGAGTCGTCCAAGATAAAAGAAGGGAGGGGGGAGAGAAGATGGGTGGATAGTAAGAGATTTGACCCTATTCTTCAATCCTATTATTTCATTCTATTATTATTCGATCCTATTATGCAGTTCCTTTGCTCATTATTTATTCTTCCCCCTGGAGCGAGAGACAAACCCAGAGAAACAGGAGGAACAGACCCTGTCCAGAGCCAGCACATTTCTGAGGGAAGGTGTTTTGTGCAAGAGCAGGTACGTAGCAAAGGGCATCTGAGGAGGCAGGAAGGACTCTCTCCTTGAATCCCTGCAGCACTTTCCGGGTGGGCCATTTCTTTAGAAACTCACTGCGTGAATAAAGGACACCCTTGTTCTGGGATTTCCTCCTTCCTACGTCTCCTGGCCTGAACCCACTTTCCAAAAGCTTAAAGCAACCTCCGCCACCAAGTGAGACTACAAAGAACCTCTGAGCAGGAACCCAAGTTTCACAACATACCAGGTGTTTAGCCAACACAGACCTGGCCAGAGACCGGGCAGAAGTGGCCACAAAGGCCTCCGTTCATGCGCTGCTCCGTCTGACGGAAGGTCCCTGAAGATCAGGACACGCAGCCAAGTCCAGGGAAGGAGGACGCTCACCCCGCTCAGGGAGAGCCTCCCCGTCTCACGTCCACCCACTCGTCCCCATCCACATGCTGTCCAGCAGACAGAGCTATGAGTGCATCTCCTCGCCCAGGCTCACCTCGCTATCCACGACCCCGTTCCTGTCCCGGTGCGGAGACTCGTACGCGTCCATCTGCTGCTTGGACACCTTGGCGAGCTTCTCAGCCAGCTCCCTCCAGCGCTGCGCCACCTCGACCGCCGTGGTCAGGAGCACGAAGTCCTGGATAAGTCTGACCACCAGGCCCTGGCAGTCCATTTTCAGTAAGGCCTGCGGAGGAAGGGGCAGGGCACGGGGCAGGTCAGAGGGCAGGCTCCGGTTTCACGTGGGGGCAATGGGCTCTTTCTCCCGAAGGTTCTAGGACCTAGAAAGTGCCCCCTGAACTCCAGCATGGCCGACACCCACAGGGTGGAAGGAAAGCAGTGAGTTTTGCAGGGTGGACTGGGCTTGCCAGCACTCTCCCTGCAAAGTCACATCCGCCTGGAGACTCAGACTGTGTTCGGAAACACGGTCTTTGTGGCTGCCACTTGTTAACACGGTCGCGGTGGATTAGGGCAGCCCTCGCCCAATGACTGGTTGTCTTTATAAGGAGAGAGACAGAGACGTGTAAGGATGGAGGACTGTTGGAGCAACTGGGAGCCAGAAGCGAGGCCTGGACCAGACAGTCCCTCTGAGCTCCAGGAGGAAGCAGGCCTGCCAACACCCTGAGCACCGGGAGAGAACACGCCTCTGTTGTCCTGGGCCACCCTGTCTGTACCACGTTGTCTCAGCAGCCCCAGGATGCTGACCCATGGGGCGAGGGCGGATGCGGGCTACACGACCGTTTCCGCTCCCTCAGAGGAGCTGGACGTGGTGATGCTTCACTGAGATGGACCGGACACCTGGGGCTCAGGGAACTGGACCAGGAGCTAGGCTGGGGGGACGTGCTGCGGGCACCGGCTGGACACAGACATCTGGACTGTCAGGTTTTAGGGCAAAGTGAAGACCCCAGGGGGAAGGGTGGGAGGAAGGTGAGGAGAATGGAGAGGCCGGAGGCTGAAGCCAAGGGACCACCATCAGAACACTTTCTGCAATCAATAGGATTGCTCCCTTTGCCAAAGCTGAAAGAACTTTCTAGTGTGTCTTCAGGACAGGAGTCACCAACTGTGGAGAGAATCCGGAGGGAAACAAACAAATGCCCGCCACCCTGGGAAGGAAGGAGGCAAGGGGACGGAGCCCGGCCCAAATCCCCACCGGGCCCCAAGCTTCCCCCCACGAAAGGGGCTGGATCATGCAAGCTTCCAATGCAGAGCTCAACAGTCCAATGTCTTCCGCGAGACCCCGGGCAGGGGTCTTAAAGAAACAAAACCAAATCAGCCAGCACAAACCAGCAGGCCCCCGGGTCCGCCCACCGTGAGGTGCAGAAGGGCCTCAGAGGCCCCCGGAGACAGTTTCCCGGGCCCTCGGACAGGTGAGCCTCAGCCTGGAGAGGCTAGAAGCAGAACAAGTCACCTGGTGTTCTTTCTGTCCTTCTGGGCTCTGTCTGGGGACCTGCTGTTGTCGCTCCAAGACTCCAAGAGCACATGCTGGGAACAGTGAGTCCAGCAGCCCCTTCCTGACTGAGCCGGACACACAGCTCCTGTGAGAACTTTGTCCACTGTTCTGCGAAGATGGCGGGCGGCCCTGACTGAGCGCAGCTACCGTCTGCCGGGTCCCTGACAGAGACGGAGTATCCCCATCTATGTTTCATGTTGATCCTGGGGGAGCTTATTAGCAAGATGGGAGGAATGGTGACTTTTCTGGCAATGCATTCTTGCCGAATGCATGAGCCGCAAGCCCCAGCCCGGCAACCTCTGCAGTTTGCAGCAGGGGTGATGGGTCCCTCTGGTGGCGGCTAGCTGGAACTGCGGTGGGCCGGGAGGGGGCGTGGTCCTGTTTGGGTTGGTTCTGTTGTGTTCTGGAATAAGCCAAGCGGACCGAGCTCCTAGCTCCTACGGTGAGCCGGGCAGGGTCTCATCCACTCCTCAGAACCCCTGTGAGGCAGGCGCCGGGCTCACCCCAGTTTGCAGACAAAGCCGAGGGAGCGACGGAGAGGCCCGACACCTGCAGGTGGCCTGTCCAGGGTCCCTGAGGGGACAGAGGTGGAGGCAGGCCTTTGCCCAAATTCTGCGGGCACTCACTCACTCCTCGACGTCAGGGACGGAACCAAAGAAAACACGGGTCTAGACTATGTGACTTCTCAACTCTATGTATTTCAGAAAAGGGTCCCTTTTTTCTGAATTTTGAGGCATTCAAGTGATGTTTAAAAAGAAAAATCGATGTTTAGCAGATCCGTGCTTCAGAGAATCTAAACACACGCACGTCCCCGTGTGTGGCAGGGGGACGTGCAATACCCTGGTCGACTCTGGATTTCAACTGTTGCCACGTGGTGAGGCTGGAGCCCCGAGGGCGCTGAGGCAGGCGGGTCCCCTCCCCGACAGAGCAGACGGTCAGTCTCTCCGCGTCTGCACTCAGCTTTTGCCCGTGGCTTCCCAGCTCTGGAGGCGGCCTCCTTTTCTAGGAAACAGAACGCACCAGAGTCACGCTTCCTACTGGGGTCGCCCCTGGCGGGAGTGATGACAATGGCTCTGTCCCTGGGCCACAGGCGAGGACCAGGGCTCCACTGTGAGGAGCAGGATGTACGCGGAAGGAGGCGCCTTCGTTTACTAATTTCAGCTCTGCTCACACCTGGATGACCCGGCACGGGTTTCCACGGCCCCAGAGCAGCCACACCACCACCCAGGGGGCATTTAGGCATTTTTTTAAGGGCATACTGTGGGTGCGGCCGGGTCCTAGCAGTGGCAAGCTTCCAGCAGGAGGCTTGAGCTCCTTCCCCTGTAGCTTCCTCTTTAATTTTCACACACACACAAATGCCCACAGGTAATCCCAGAAAATCCCATTCGAAACGAGGCTGACCCTGGCAGCAATCCGACGGAGTGAACGGGAATTTGAGCCAGGTGACCAAACCTGTTCGACCCAGCACTAGACAGGGCAGAGGTTTCGGCTCTGCGGGCCCTGCAGTCTCTGTCACAAGCCCCTGCATCGGCCGGTGTGGGGTTGAAGCAGCACAGACGGTGTGGGAAGCAGCAGGCATGGCTCAGTCCGGTGTGACCTCACGTACGAAAGCAGGTGGCCAGGAGCCAGTCTGCCAGGCCCCGTTTTAGGAATTACTCTTATGAAAAGACAATGAGGTATCCTTTCAGTTTTGCTGTACGGTCATCCCACCCATGCTTCTGTTCCCAAGACATGCAAACATGAGAAGAACCCCAGGAACCCCCTACAGGCGCAGTGGTTAGCTAACTGCCCTCTTTCGGGGGGGATCAGGGGCTTTTCGCCTGACTCTCGGAGAATCACTCCAGACCGTCCTCTCCAGCCCCACCCCACCCCCCAAAATCTCCCAGTGCACCCCTCATTTCCATCAGCTTGGGCTTTATTCCGCTCCTGGAAACAGCTGCCCTTCACTTGATGTGTGTCCTAGAGGAACCTTCTCTTTCTCAGAGAACCTTCTCCAAAAAGTCCGCCCCTGGACTCAGATGCCCAGCGGCTCCAGCCCCAGCCCTGAGTGCCGGCCATTGCCCCCTCAGCAGACCTGCCCACGCCCCTGACTTCTCCCTCCCCGCCCTCGCCAACGCCCATCCCTCCCCACCCAGCCCGCCTTTCAGTGCCGTCATAGTTACCGGTACAAACACACACAAGCACATGTTTGGCACCAGACGCAGCAGAAGACTCGGTCAAGAACGTCACCGTGCCAAGAGCAAAGAACAGGCTCTGCTTTCTCCCTTTCGTGAAGAAAACAAAAGTCCCAACGGGGAGCCCAAGGTTGGCAAATGGGAGGAGGGGTCTCGGGACAGTCCATCGCCACAGTAACAGCACCTGCCACCCACTTCCTGTCACTCCCAGCTGTGTACTCCCCAGCGACAAAACCATTTTCCATTCAAGACCAAACAAATTCTGGGATGAGCCAAGACAGCTGTGCAAACACAGGCCCCTGAAGCTCTTAAGGTCCACACCACCGGGCCCGCGGGCAAGGAAACACCGCTTCTCACCAATGGCGCCGTGAAAGAGTGGCCATGGGCCCCGGGGCCGACCTGCATGGGAGCGGGGAAAGCGCACACTGCAGCCAGAAACGGAAGGCCTGATTGCAGGAGGGGCCCCTCTGATGGCTGCGAAGGTGAGGAGCGGACTGGAGGCGGAGCGGCCCAGGCAATCTCCACACCAACCCGGAAGGGCGGCCCCGCCCGGCAGTCCTCGGATCTGAATGCACCTCTCACCGCTGATAGAAAGGAGCTGCCCATTCGTCTCCAGAACACATGAAGATCTAGAAACGAGTATCTAGAAAATGGGGTCCTCCGCCCCCAGGCACCCTCCTGATGTTCTGCAGGAATGACATTTGGAGCGGGGTTCCCGGCGGGATGGGCAGCTGCTTCTGAGGGGCTCAGGGGCTGTGGGGTGTGGCGCGAAGGGACACGCCTGGATCCAACTTGGCTCCCCTTCTCTTCTCCCACTGTACCCCTCTCTGTGCCTACAGAGCAAAGCTCGAGCGTGATCCGGTGCAAGTGGCCCCACACCCCACGTACCATCCCTCCGGGATCACTGTGTGGTCTCTGGTCTGCCCCCTTCTCTGCTCTCCGGGACCCTGGTCCTGCTCATACTGTGCCTTCAACCTGGCGGCCCCCCGCCTCGGCGAGTGGGCTTCTGCACCAGTACAAGCCCCCACCCTCGGGCCTGCTCACCTTTCCCTGGTCTACACAGGGGGCTCTCGGCAAACGTGTCCTGTCCTCATGCTCATCACTCCACGCCTCGCTCACGTCAAGGACCTGTGCCCTTGGAAAGCCCAGCAGCCAGCATCGCCCCTGCGCACATAGGAGGCAGCTGGGAAACACTTGCACCGCTGTCTGTGGCGGCTCCTCCTTGCTCTGTGTCAGAAGCTTCCACCCTGTACCTTCCACTTGGTGATCCTTGAGGACCCCTTCCTAACCTCTCCCCAACCCACCACCACAAGTCCTACCGGCAGAGGTCCCTAGGGGCTCTGTCCACCCTGGCTACTTGCCTCGTTCAGTGCCAATCTTGCCCACTCCCTGCAGCAGCCCCGCATCGCCCCTTCCCTCCCCACCGCATTCAGTCCGGCCTGGGGGGCCCGGTCGGCGGGGTGGCCGTCCTCTGGCACGGATGGTCGCGGCTTCCACCACAAGGTAAGGGGAGGGGGCTGGGGCGGCATTCCCTGGCGGTGGTTGCACAGTCTGGGTGGGAAAGGGCAGGTAGGGGCACACCGGGAAGTCCATGGGCTTCTGCAAGACGCCCCTCAAAGCCATGCAACGATGGCAGGAGGGAAGGCCCCTGGAGAACCAGAGCAGAAGCACGGTCTGACCATAGGACGTGGCTCGGGTTCTCGGGGCCTGATGGGCAGGCGTTCATGCTTTAATTCCTGTAATGTCCGAGTCTTTCCTTTGCCTTTCTCTTGCGGCGTTTATATCTGATGAGGTCAAGAGCAAGAACACAAACTCGAGGCAGCAAGGCCATCTGGGACTGGGGAAAGCACCATGCAGACAGTGATCTGGGCCGATGAAGCAGGGCACGGAAAAGGTCTGAGGGCACGACCTGTGGGCTGGCACTGGGGGATGTGAAGAGCCTCTGTCCAGGGTCCGTGGGGCAGAGTTCCAGGCTAAGGGAGCAGCGTGGGCACAGGCCTGACCCCCCTCGGATGGCGGGAGGACAGAACGATGTTCTCTCTTCCCATATCCCTGCAAACCTACAATCCCAAACCTTCACCCCTTCCCATGGGTTCACTGTTTCTAGACCAGGGAGTCCCATCTGAACAGAAAACCGTGCCACCACATGAGGGGCCGTGACAGCTGCAGGGCTGGCGGACCCCCCGAGGCTGCGGGAAGCCACCGTTTAGAGACTCAAGCGTGGCAAGAAATGGAACCCGGCTTCCAGCGACCCCTGAAACACACGGGGACATATCAGCTTGTGATTTCTAGACGTTCAGCCAACATTCTAATCTACCTGCTCTCAGGATGGTGACGGATTTAGTCCAGAGACGAACGAGGGAAAAACACTGCAAACCTCCGAGCAGACCCGATTAGGCCCGGGAGAGACCCCCATGCCTCAGGACAGGAACCCAGGGATGGCCCCCAAAACATGTGCTGTCAGAGAAGGCCCCCACATGGAAGAGAAAGAGCCACCACTTAAGTCTGGAAAGACCTGAAAGGAGATGAGGGAACGTGGGTAAGCAAAGGGCCTCCCTTGTCATCACTCCTCCCCAGCTGGGAAGGGCTGCTCCCACTGTCCCCTTCCCCAGCTCCGGCCACTGGAGGTGAGGGCGTCTTAGGCTGTAATGAAGGAGCCACCAGTGTTGTTTACGTTCATGAAAGCACCCGATTTTATAATCTACAGTGCACCGCAGTTCAAGGGCCTGGAGAGGGATGTGCATCCCTGTCCACTAAGCCCGGTCCATCCAAGGGGACACCAGCCTTGCTGGGTTTGCCACAGCTGGGGGGCCAGCTAGGGGAGGGGCCTCCTGCAGGGAGCGGGTGGGGATGCAGCCCCGCCTCTCCCCAGCCAGCAGGGGACTGTATCCCTTCTGGCTCCTGGCTCCCAGGGCAGCTGAGAGCTGCATGTGCCACGGACGGACCTCAGTGGCATGCTGATGTCAACACGGGCATGCTCAGACACACGCATACCTGGCTCATCCGTTCCCACAGCTGCTCTCGCCACATGGCGGTTGGGAGAGTACAGGTGGCAGAAATTCTGAGGTGCTGAGACTCACCTCTTACAAAAGTCAGGAGGCAAAAAGAGTGTGTGGAGCCTGGGGGAGCAAGGAAGGAACGCCAATGACCAAATCACAAGGGTTTCTACGGGAAGAAGCCCAGGGACAGGTTGGGAAGATGGGGAAGGAGACAGAGGATGCTTCTGCCATGGAAACAACGTCCACCAGATGCAAGGTGGGATGCCAAGAGGGTACTGTCAAGCTTCTGCAGGTCAGTGTTCTATGACAGGCCACGAGAAGCAGACAGTTGGGAGAGGGTGGCAGAGCCCAGGCCGTGGGAGGCCGTGGGGGACTCGAGCGAATACTTTCCCCGTTGGCTAGAGGCTTGGGCGTGTCCTGTGGTATGACACCAACCTTGCCCTCTCCTAGTCTCAGGATTACAATTCCCAGCTGTGCCGGAGAAACAGAGGCCGTCCTGAATCCCAACTCACACACACAAAAAGGAAGCAGAGAAAGAAACGTGGAAACCTCGAGGGTAGGGAAACGCCTATCAAAGTAAAGCTAAACTTTGGGGTGGCAGTTCTGAAAACGCAAGAGTCCTAGATCCTGGTGGGAATCTGATGAAACACGGATCTTCTCCCAAGACATCAAAACAGAGGCAAACTGGAGTGAGAGTCTCCCCGTGCCCCCCACTCCCACCGGGCCCTGAGGGGTCCATCAGAGACCTCAAGGAGCTCGCGAATCCAGCAGAAAGCCACCTGAACGGTGCTCTCCGTGGTGGCTCTTCAGCTGTCTGGGGCTCCCCAAATGCCCTCCAGGTGCACGTGCACACTTAAGCCCTGTGCGTTCCAGAGAGCGAAGACGCGCCCGGACGCTGGCCCAGTGATTCACCAAACCCACGCCCCAGTGTGCAGGGAGAGGTGCTGAGAGCGGACTGTCAGGCCCCAGGCTCCCCACTGAGCACTCACCATCATGAGCTCCTTCTGGAAGGATTTGCGGTCTTTGTTCTCCGTGTTGTTACAGTCCTCCTTCAGCTTCTCCAGAACCGATGCCACGCGCTCGGGCTCGCTGTCCAGCTCCGCGCGGCAGAAGAAGGTGAGCGGCAGGTTCCCGTAGCCCAGGGCGTCGGCGAAGGAGCGCCAGCTGCTGACGTTCTCCATAAGCAGGGTCCTGACGGAGGCGTAGATGTAGGTGAGGAACTTACAGGGCCGCAGGATCTGCTCCAGCAGCACCGACGTGCTCAGCTCGGGCCCCGAGAGGAGGCTCGGCCTGGCCCTGCCCACCACCAGCACGTTCTTGGCGTGCACCAGGCCAACCTTGCCCTGGTGATAGCCGATGTACCACTCCTTGGTCCACAGCTGCCCCTTTAGCCGGATCTTCTCCTCGCTGAGCAGGGCGATGGTGTCACCCTTCTTGTACTCCAGCAGGTAGTGGTTCTTGCTCTGCCGCACCACGGTCTTGAGCAGTTTGCCGAACTTGAGGCTGGACACCGGGCGGTCCTGAAACGTTGGGTATTTGGTGGTGGCGGCAAACGGGGACAAGATGATTTTCCCGACCTCGTTCTTCTTGAGGAACCGCCTCTGCCCGGACGGCTTGATGGCACTTTTAGGGGGTGGCTGGGGGGTCTGGACGCAAAACTGGGTCAGGATGGCCTCCTGGTCGCCTTTCACCTGGACCCGCAGGGTGAAGTCGGACAGCTCGCCGGCATTCTGGCAGGTGACGGGGAAGATGAGGCGGCTCACCTTGCCCAGCTTCATCTGGAATCCCCTGACCACTCTGGCCTGCTCACTGCCCTTGACCTCGTAATTGGTCATGTTGGAAAACATGCAGACGTGAAGGTCCTGGGGCCTGGACAGGACGAACTGGTGTTTACCCCAGAGCTGCAGGGCCACGGGGGCAGGGCAGGGGGCCTGGCGGGTGACCTCACTGACCATCAGCGTCTTTGGGGCACAGTCATGCCCAAAAAGGGTCACCACGGTCTTGAAGGATGGGTGAATGTGTTTGGGGCCATAGAGCCCCACGGTGATCTTTTTATTGATGAAGTCCCACACCGTGGAAGGGTAGAGAATGTTTGGGCCGTGGGCCACGATGGCCAGGTACATGCAGGGCTCCAGGTTGTCCAGCTGGACCTGGACCGTGTCCCCGTAGCTGTAGGTGAGGGGGATGGGGACATAGGGCCCTTCCTTCAAGTCGCTCCGCAGGCACTGGAGTCCCACCGTGCTTTTGCTGAAAATGTCGTTTTTCACCTCGGCCGACACTTTCATCTCCAGGATGATGTGGGTTCTCACCTCCAGGGTGCTCAGCTTCACCTCCAGCACCGGGCTGACGCTGCTGCACCGGTCACTGTTGAGCTCCAGCGGGGGGTCCAGTAGCGCTTTCATGGCGATCTGCTGCGTCTCGCCAGGGGCCACGTGGCCTTCGGGCACGTGGATGCTGATGTTGGTGTCGGGCAGCTGCACAGCGCCCCCGGAGCTGTCCAGCTTGCAGGCGATGCTCGTCTCCAGCACCTGGGTCTGGCCCCAGCCGGGGCTCTGGCCCAGCAAGTCCAGATCGTGGCAGGAGCGGGCCAGCTTCCGGTGGCTCAGCCAGGCGGCTCGGAAGTCCTCTCTGCTCTGGAACTGCTCTGGGGCCGGGGACTTCAGGCCCGTGAAGAACCCCGCTGAGTCAGGGGCATCCGACTTGGCCTGCAGGACTGACAGCTCCGAGAGGCTGTAGGAGCGCTTGCTCCTGAAGAACGGGTTGTCCTGCTTGCCGGGCGCCTCTGCCTGGACGCGGTTCGCGGCCAGCAGCTCGTCGAAGATGTTCCCGGTGCTGTTGGTGGTGGCGGAGCTGGACTCCGTGAACGAGGATGCTCCTGGATCAAAAAGCAGCAGATCCACGGTGCTTCTGGGGGTCAGTCCGTCCACACTGGGTGTTGCTGGCACATTCCCGTTCAGAAACGGGTTTGTCTGGACCCCGTTCCAGAAAGGGTTATTACTATAGGTTTTGCTGGACCCCTTGTCATCCGTCCACCCCCCGAGCAGGTCTAGCTCCTTGGCCACCTCATCTGGGCTGTCTGGAAGATTGTCGATCACCCCGCTGTCGCTCAGAGTGGAGTTCCGGTAGTTTAGGGGCTGCACGTAGGAGGACGGGATGTAGCCCATCTCCGTGGTGTTGTGAGCATACCACCATTCCCCGCCGGACGTGTCCAGGACGTAAAGGTGGTCCCCTTTGGAGAACTTCAGCGTTGTGAAGTTGGTGGGGCAGTAGTCCTTGATTGCGATGACTTCCTTTGCGTTTCCAAAAGGTGTGGGATTGTCTACTAGCAAGGCACTGGGAGAAGGCACTGCGTAAAACACAAAGAGACAGGTGGTGAGGGCGAGGCCCACGGGTGTGCAGGGCACTGAGCAGGGTGACCCACTGTCTGTGGCCGGGGATGAGCAATGAAGAGCTTCCAAAGCAGCTCTCAGTGTTTGTGAGCGGGTGACACTCTCTGCCTTCAACATAGAACATGTGAGCAGGGTGGGAGAAGGTTCCTTGACAAGCTGAACCCATCTCCACCAAACTAAGCCTTTTGAGGCCAGCCTCTTTCACAGTCTCCTTTAAATGATGATTCAGAATGACAACTTGGAAACCACCTCTCCTACATAACCTGGAAAAACAACGGTTTTATGTCTCATGGCAGTCACGTTATTTCTGAACCAAAGCTGAAGTCTGAAAAACCCCGACACTTAGAACAGTGACTCGAGCTAATTTCTGGTTCACACCATTCAACTACACAGGTTACGGAGGTCAACAGCAGTCGGAGTGGCCAAAGTCAGTCATCTCAACCAGGGGTGTGTGTCTTTGAACACTAAGGGATAATCAAATACTGAAGCGTTTTCTTTCCCTCTCATACACGACAGACTATATCCAGAGGCTGCGGAAAGTTCCATCGGAGAGGACTAAGTCCCCACCCCAAGTGTGCCTTGTGTCACAGAGGTTGTTAATATTCTGGGGTCCTGTAACTAACAACTGGAAGACAGGCCCACGTGTTTAGTGGAAGTACCCCCGCATCGTCTCTAACACACGATTAAGTCAACACAAGCTCTGGTCTATCAAACGGGCCCTCCAGAACACCTTCGGCCGGTTTCCTTTTCCTTTGAAAACAAATAATGAAAACTGAGTTGAATTTCCTTAGCCAAGTTTTGGAAAATAAAGCAGGAAGTTCCTATTTCCATGAACCAGGTTAGAGGGTTATCTAGAGGGATATCACCTGGGCGGTGAAGGCCGTCACCTCCCACCCTCCGTGTGTAGTGCTGGCAGGGAATCTGGCCCTGGGCTCACTGCGCCTCCGCTGTAATCCAGGCCTTGAGAAGCCGTGTGGCCTCAGGAACTAAGATTCTTCCCTCATTGGACTCTGCTGAAAATAAGGTTTTCTGATAGCGTCCTTAGCATAAAGATGCTTAGCCCCAGGTAAGGACCCACAAAGGGTTATTACATTCAAGTGGACCTATCTACCCCCCTCCTAATTTTATTTTCTCCATGGCACTTCTCATTAAACGATACATCATATACATACATTTTTTTCTGTGGGGAGGACTATGTTGCCCCATTAGGATGGAAGCTCCCTTAGGGTCTGTTTTGCTCACAGTGGTAATCCTGGAAGACAGCCTGTCACATAGCAGGTGTTCAACAAATATTCTTGGGATGAATGTTCATCTCGCAGGCACGTGACAGAGAGCCTTTATCCATGTTAAGGGGCCAAGGTGTTCTCCTTGGGTGTGCCCCAAACAGAAATCGCTTACAGTGAAGGGAGGGGAGTGAATAAAACAGCTAAGAAAAAGAGAATGCCTTTGAGGGAGAGGTGGCAGGACAGGGGATGGGTCAGGCTGGGTCAGGGGACAAAAGGATCTTTCTCCGTTTGTTTTCCAGACACCGTCTCCAGTAATATAAACCACTTTTTGTTTCTTTGACACATCTAATGAAAATGTCACATAAAAATTAAAACCAAATGAAAATCAGAGAGCTTGCCAGCTATTAAAATCTTGTTAGACTCCCTCAGAAGTTATATCCCTATTATGTTCCCCGCAACAGTTCCCTTAGAGTGATATTTTAAAATTAAAACCCAAAAGCTATTAAGCAGGCTTTGTATATAAGCCTAAGAAAATGTATCAGTGTAAATTATCACTTTAGTTTCACCAGACTGAAGAATAAAAATGGGCTCACTTAAAATTCCAAGCACTCTCCTTAGCAAAGAAGCAGTAACACATTTCACTCAAGGATCCGGCTCACCCAGTGGGACATGGTGCTCCTCCCTGCTGGGCCGCTCGGAGGAGGAGGACTCTGGTGTGAGCTCCTCCATCAGTCACCTGTCACAGGGCACCCGGGGACACCAGGTGGGCATCCACCCAATCAAATGCAGAAGAATCCTTATCAAATCCCATCTTAATGAATTCTGAGGAGCACTGTCCAGATTCACAGCTATCCTTGATTTTAATTAAAAAAAAAAAAAAAAATCCCTGTGTGTCACAAACCACTGAGTCCCACAGTTTTTACCCCGTTGCCTCAGTTCTGGTGCAGGTGGAACACTAATGAGGGGGTGGAAGGCTTCACAGCGGGTAGTTTGGCTGGAACAAATCCCCACCTTGAAGCCTGTTGTCCATCGGGCAGAGCTGCCTTGGGAAGTGGGTCCAGCGGCTCTGTGGGCATCACGCCCTCGGCTAACCAGCCAAGCTGGCATCCCGGGCTGTCTCATTTGTCTTTTCCCCATAACCGTGGTGTTCTGTTAGGTCCCTAACACCTCTCAGGTCATCGTCATTGTTTAAAAAATTCAGCTCTCCCATTTCAAGACCCCAGCCCAAATCCCACAAACGATGCTCCCCGTTTCCAGCTTTAAGCACGATTAGCTGGGCTATCAAGTAAGAAGACGATGCCCTTTACCAGCCTGTGAAAAACGAAGGGTCCCATTATTCATGGCAATTCCTGGAAACAGTGCCGCTCTTATTAATAAAAATCTCCTGACCTCCTTTGCCAGTCCGTTCATGTGAAGAACATTAAATGCAATGCCCAGGGCTCCAAGCATAAAGCACAGACCAGAAGAGGAAGAAGTTGAGGATACAGTGAAGGGAGAAGCGATTAGGAAGAGACAAATGGGGAGCATATGGTTTTTAGGACAACAGGGAAGAGGGCCACAGTGTTAGCGGGGAGACAGCAGTTTGGTTCAAGGACTATTCATTAAGCACTAGGGGCTAAAGCTATGAAGGCCAAGAGCAGCTCCCACAGCTCAGCTCGTACTCTGGATAGCCCAGTGGGTAACGAATATGCTGTGGAGAACGCTGTAGGGAAGCTGCTGGACGGAAGCACCTACTAAGTTCAGAGGGGACTTCTGGGAAGAAAACGACCCACGAGTACCCATCATCCACCTCACAGATCCAGCTGTACGTGGCTGTTAAGAGAAAACAGGAGGCTCACGGTGATTCACCCCTGGGGCCACCTCTACAGCCAGGATCGGCCAACAAAGGCCCCTTTGCTGTTTTTGTCAATAAAGTTTTATTGCAACACAGCCGTGTCCACTGCTTACTGTCTTCTCTGACTGCTCTCGAGCTGCAACAGCAGAGGAATAGCTGTGGTGGCACCCTTGGGGCCTGCAAGGACTATAGTATGTCGTGGGTGACCCTCATGGGGGGCTTGCTGACCCCAGTCCCAGACCACCTTTTCCTCTGTAGCAGCTCTGAATATTTCCTTGGCTGGCCACACTCTGTCCTTCCCCTGAGTATCCTGAGCACCCAGCTCCCTACCTTAATGTTACCAAAACTCTCAAAAAGAGAAAACACAAACACATTCTGTATGAAGAAGTTGCATTACCAAGGGCAACATTCAAAACCTCCCAACACACCAAAAAACCCCCAGGACAAGTGGTTATTGTTCTAGGGCTGGATTTATGGTCGGTGAAGTTTAGAGAGCTAAAGTTTAACTGGGAACTTGGCAGCCTTTAAGGCAGAGAAGTCCTTGGGTCTCTGAGCACCTGCAAATCCTGATCTACTTCCCCTAGCCACAGTTTTGTCCCCACGAGCTCACCTTTTTTTTTTTTTTTTAAGATTTTTATTTATTTATTTGACAGAGATCACAAGTAGGCAGAGAGAGGCAGGCGGGGCGGTGGGGTGGGGGTGGGAAGCAGGCCCTGCTGAGCAGAGAGCCTGATGCAGGACTCCATCCCAGGACCCTGGGATCATGACCTGAGCCGAAGGCAGAGGCTTTAACCCACTGAGCCACCCAGGCGCCCCATTTTTCAGAGTTTATGACAGCAGAGCAAGAGAGCGCAAGCGAGTACATGCGCACAAGCGGGGGAGCAGCACAGGGAGAGGGAGAAACAGACTCCCCACCGAGCAGGGAGGCTGACGCGGGACTCGATCCGAGGACTGAGATCGTGACCTGAGCCGAAGGCAGAGGCTTAACCCCCTGAGCCACCCAGGGTACCCTGTGAGCTCACCTCTGACATCATTAAAGCTCGCTTCCGAAAACCCTTCACTCAGGTCAATCAGCGTCCCCTCGGACTTGCACCGAGGGAGACCGCTGGAGTTGGCAGCTCGGATCCGCTGAGCTGCCATCTCGAACTGTCTTCCCGGGTGGACGGCTAAGGTTTCATTGCTCTTCCTCCAGGTACCCCCAGCGCCTGCCGAAGCTCTTCTCAGGCAACCATGCCGCGGGATGGGGTCAACTTGGCAATGAGCTTCTTCCTGCAGGCGGGGGAGGAAAACACAAGAACGTCCCTTGAGCAAGTGAAACATGGGTTCAACAGTAATTTTATAGGAAATGGGAATCCTCTTTCTTCCAGAGGCTGTTCCTATAAAGACACTCGCCACGGCCCAGGAGAGCAGAGTAGGGCTCCCTCCCTGGATTCTCTGAGCACCTTACGTCCATCTCATCGGTCCTGTCAGCGCACAGAGCCAGCCCGCGTTTCCTGGACTGCTGTCTGCACCCTGGGGCACAACGGGGTTTGGGACATTTATTCTAGCCCCTGGCCAGCCTGCTCATCACAGCGAAAGAAGAGGACAGACAGGATCTGCACAGTCCACACAGCCAGTTTCAGGGTTTGGGAAAGAAGAAATAAATCTGTCTGTCCTGACAGTGGCTGGTCCCATTCTTGGCACGGTTCCTGCTGTGGCTCCCACACCCGGGAGAGGAGCTCCAGGCACGGTGCCTCTTATGGCCCCACCATGGTGGGGTCGGGGGGGAATTGCTCGGCTCACACTCCCCTGAAATCCTCCCTGGATCCCTAACAAACAACAACCCCAAATAAAACACACACACAGCCATCTCTGCCTCGAAGTCACCCCTGGGTACCGTGTGCAGGTGAAACCATGGTACATAGACTTGCCCAACCGCCCGAGAAGTGTCTGTGCATGGAGCACACAAATCATGGCTCTAAGGCCCGTTTCTTTCTGGAAGGGGCACAAAGGAGGATTCTGGAGATTGGGACGTGACTGGCCATGGGCACAGCCTCACCAGCCCACAGGCAGGAGACAATTGCAAAGCAGTGAATTCTCCACGCCCTCCAAGGGAAAGGGAAAAGAGCAACTTGAGGGCAGGCGAACTTCATGCAATGGTAACAGGGCTCATGTAACCCGGCTGCTCCTTGCCTGCGCTATCCAGAGATGGCTGGGAAGGTGGCCTCTGGCCCAGGTGCGTTACCTTCACTCGTCGGAGGGACCTGGAGGGCCCCGGGGGTGGGGGATCATCCATGGCCGCCCTTCCCCTACGCTCCGCATGCAGCAGGCCAGGCTGAGCACCCACTGTGCAGGGGGCACACTCAACCCTGCCGGCCCACACCCCCCTTTGTGGGGATAGCCTGTATTCAATGTTTAACTCCACCAAGGCTCAGTTTTTGTACTTGGCATGTGGGGCGACGACAACACCTTCCTGACTGATTTGTGCGAAGAATAAATATGATTTGTGTAAGGTGCATAGAACAAGGAACAGGGCTCAAAGACAGTCCACGCCCTCAACTCCAGGGCCTCGGCTGTCCCGAGCCTGGCTCAGAATGACCTGCAGGGCCGTGGCTCTGGGGACAAGTTCTTTCCTTCTCTCCCACAGAATATCGACTTCCTCGGAAGAATGCTCTTGGAGGGAAGGTGGCACCGAGCTGGACGCAGACACCAGCCCCCAGGCCAGAGACGGGGCACTGGGAGGCAAGCAAAGCCCACCTCGGGGCAGTATAGCTCCAGAGAGGAACCGTGCCGTGAACCTACATCACTGAGACAAGAGAATGTGAAAATCCTTCTGACCTGAAAGACGAGTCTCACTTGCTGGAAATGGGACTCATATGTGGGTAGAAACACCAGACAGACAGACACAGCCAAAGAAACTACAGGTGGGGTGGAGGGGAAAGCCAGTTAGCTGTGAAATCCCGTGAGGGGCTCCCCACCTGGTGCAGAGCTGCTCCGAGGACTGGGTGAGCAAGAGGGCAAGTGCTCTGGACCATACTTGAGCCAAAGGATGCTCTCCCTGCTGCACCCACCGCACACTCTCCCCCCAACCCCGCCCATGAACTCCTTGTTATGGAGTTCCTGTTCAGGACATACGGGCCCCAGCACAGGTCTGCTTGAGGAAAGGCGGCCGAGGAGTCTCCTAGGAGAGTCCATTCTGACCAAGCTTCCAGACAGACCCAGAACAAGAAGGAGGATGCACACCTGCCCTCCCACCTCTTTTTCAATGTATATTAGCTGATTTTCCATTTGCGGCCACAAGAAATTATTTCATGGAGGGTTTAAAAGAAAAGTCAAAATGGGCACCGTCGTGAGACATTACTGCAAAGCGGTGCCTTCGCTCCCATGCTGGTGCGGCCCCGAGGACCCCGAGGCTGGCTGGGGGAGTCCTGGGGAGGTGGGTGGGATGCAGGTGCCTGTGGTGATGGGCTGGGGGCCCCTGGATGAGCCCCACCTCCCTCGGAGTCCTGTAGGGGACATCGGTGGGGTCTGATTTAATCCAGGGTGGGGACAGTGGGAGCCAGCCGCTTACCGGAGGCTCCTACACAACAGGACCAAGCTTCCCAGTGAGCACTTGAAGACTCTGCAAGTTGGAAGATAAAACTAGAGATAAACAGGGGCGCCTGGGTGGCGCAGTGGTTAGGCCTCTGCCTTCCGCTTAGGTCACGATCCCAGAATCCTGGGATCGAGCCCCACATCAGGCTCTCTGCTCGGCAGGGAGCCTGCTTCCCCCTCTCCCTCTGCCTGCCTCTCTGCCTACTGTGATCTCTGTCATATAAATAAATAAAATCTTTATAAAAAAACCCCAAAAAACTAGAGATAAACATGCTAAGAGCAACGGGATTCCTGCATTTCTTATCACCACCAGGAAGGTAGCTTGCAGGTGAAATCAGGGCCTCAGGGGTGGGCAGAGCAGAAAGCGTCACTGGACCCCACCGGAATTTCTGGAGACAGACCACTGTTTCTGTTCACTGGGGATGGGCACACAGTTTTTGCCCTGAGCCAGTGCAGAACCAGGAAAAGGGGTTAGCGGTGACATAAAGAGATCTGCAGTCTTTTTAGAAACACAGAGACCCTCCCAGAGGTGCCATTCAAGGAGCAGGTGAGCCACTAGCCATACGGTTCTGACAACCCACTTCATCGGCCAGAGCGAAGCCATGATGTGGAAGTGATGGCCGGACAGCATGGCACCGCGTGCCCACCGAGCCTCAATGCGCTCACTCACGCGGCCGCTCCCGTGGGACAGGGGCATCGGTCCCGTGGGGCTCAGGGCCCTGTGTGAGGCCCAGAATGGCCATTTTTCCTTCAGGTGTGTGGGACTCCAACCTCGCCCCTGCTCTCGGGGATGTTACCTCACAGCAAAGCAGGCAGCGCCCCTGCCCCCCTGGGCAAGCCTAGCAGACTCTCTTCCTGGAACCTTCTCTGACCTGACACCATCAGGGTGAGAGCTCACAGAGCAGCTCATCACCTCCACATGCTCCAGAGCCCGGCGTGCAGCGATGTCTGGGGGAACCCGCCCAGGAGGCAGTGGCCAGCAAACCGCTCCGTGCTCTACCCACTTGCTAACAGCCACTTCTTTCCAAACCCAGAGCGCACTGGGCCTTCGCTGCCAGCGGCTGTGGGACCCGATTTTGCTCGATGCCCCTTCCATCAGGGGCCCTTGGATCCCAAAGCTGTCCTTCCAGGTCACGTCACTGCCCCACTCAAAACTGTGCAGGACAGCTCCCTGCTTTTAAACCAGCAAAGTCAGACGTCCCCGCCCCAGCATTCGGAGCCCTCCACCACTCAGTTCCCACCTGCCCTTCCAGGCTTGTCACTGACCTCCACACCCAGGTGAGTCTGTGGCCACGCGTGGCACCTCTCCAGGGTGCCCCATGCTGCTCAGCGCCTGCTCCCGGAACACACGCCCCTCACCTGTGCCTCCAGGAAACCAGTCCTCTCCCTCCACCCTCTCCGCTCCACCCTTCTGCCCAAAGGCCCACAGGCTTCTCCGCTGACTCATGCGCTGGGTGCTGACCTGCAGTCCGTGTCCCAGAGCTCCAAGTTCAAGTCAGTGGGGCTCATGGCACAGGCCTCCTGAGTCAGTCCCTGCTGCACCAGAAAAGCCATGTCAGGGGAAATGACACAAGGCTCACATCTGTTTAATAAGGAGTTTGTGAAGATGCGGGACTTTATTTTATGGCACAGAATACGACTGCTAGCAATTACTGTATTTACTCTACATTTTACTATCTACCCAATGTAGTTCCCACTAGTCCCCATTTTATTGTTTTTAAATTACTTACTACTTTATTTTTGTTATTTTTCTATTTACATACGTGTTTTAAAATGCCTGCAATCAAACCAAAAAGCCCTAGGAAAGCAGTATTAGGGAACATTAAACACCTGCCTTCCCAGACACCGTCAGGAACATGTGCACGCATTCCCCTCTGACTGGGAAAAGCTCAAAGGAGCCACAGGGTCAAATGCCCAAGCAGCTGAGCCCCCTCACAGGCCACAGAGACACGGCCAGGTTCTTGTCAGCAAACATGTGACCCCTGGATCCCAGACCCAGCTCACTGAGGGTCTCCTTAAGACTGAGGGGCGTCTGTCCTGAACCTCCCAGGTCCAAACCCAGCTCGGGGGCTGCCCCAAGCCCCCTCCAGTCTTCACCATCTCAGTTACGGCTGAATGGCATGTTCACCCAGCCAAAAAAGCCCCGTCTCCCTCCCCAGCAGCCCAGTGAGAACATGACCTCCACCTGACCTCAGCACCTCCACAATTACAGTAATCGGCTCCTTTCCACCAAGTCCACTGAGCCTGCCCCTCAGTGAGCAGTCAGAATGTTTTTTACAAGTCAGGACTCTGCTCACAACCCTCCGAAAGCTTCTGAGCCCTGAGTGTGCTTACGGTGCCCTCAAGGCCTCCTATTATGGGTCCTCGCTTCTCCTGAAGTACCTCCTCAGGGCCTTTGCACCTGCTATCTCCTCACCTGGGAGGCCCATGCCTAGGTATTCACCAGACCTGATCCCTCACTTCATTCAGGCCCTGCTCAAAAGTCACCTAATGAACAGGGACAGGCATCTGCTACAGCAGCAACACCCCTAACTCCACCTTCTTTCCCTATTTTCCTTATCAACACCACCGATCCTGTGCTTTCCTGTGACCAGCCCAATTTCTCCAAGAGAATGTAAGTAAGCTCCGGGAGGCCACAGGATTTGCTCTGCTTCTGTCCCCACTCCTGCCGTGAGACCTGCACTGACCGCCAATGA